CGTGTGCTGGCCGGGTCAAGTGCTCAGAGGATTGAGCTGGTTAGTTGTAGAAGGGGAGTGGATGGGATATGTCCTAGGGTTATGGCTAGAGGATTAGGGAAGGAGGGGGGTGGAAGTGGTATAGAAGACTTGCGGGTACGGCAGGAGAAGACAGATGAGGTGTTAGTCTTTACAGATGGGTCCATGATTGGAGGATGGGTTGGAGCTGGGTGGTGGAGAAGAGATAATGGGGGTGTTGAGTATGGTGCGAGAATTCCTTTGGGAAAAGAAATGGAGGTCTATGATAGTGAGCTTGTGGGCATTGAGGCTGGGATACGAAATGGATTGTTGATGGCAGTTCAGGAAGGCAGGAAGCAAATCTTGGTCCTGTCCGATAATCAGGCAGCTGTACAGCGAATGGGCCGAAGGGAGGCATCATCAGGAGAAGCAGTTGTTCAACGTGTATGGGCACTTGTTGCAAGGACAGAGAGACATGGTATTACTGTAACAGTTGGTTGGGTGAAGGGTCATTGTGGGGTGGAGGGAAACGAGCAGGCGGATAGGCTTGCAAAGGCAGGAGCGCAGATGGCACGTGGTGGACGCCATGCTTACACCTCAATAGCTTATCTACGACGGCGCACGCGTGAGTTCTGTGGACAGCTATGGAGCAAACACTATCATAGGGCAGTGGCAGGTAAAGGCAAGAGGTATGGTGGGACTCCGAGTAAGAGGTGGAAGGTGGTTTTTGAGCGCAAGGATCGTGGGGCACGCACACTGCTGAGCAGGCTTAGGACGGGTCATATTGATTGTGGGCATTACCTTCACCGTATTGGGAAGATCGCTTCTCCTGCATGCTTTTGTGGTTCCTCTAGTCAGACTGTTAGACATGTTCTTCTGGATTGCCGCCTATTATCAGCTCAGCGAAAGAGGGCTAAGGACTGGTTGGGAATGGGAGCACTATCAATGCCCAAGCTCTTGTGGTCTCAGAGGGGAAAGGATGCATCACTCAAGCTCTGGCGGGCATTTCAGGAGATGAAAAGGAATCACAGTTATTGAGCACTGGGGATGTGAGTGGCAGCCTGGGGCATACGCATAGGGGGGGGCACATGAATTGGCATAAGAAATGGCCCACAGGGTGGGCCAAGAGGTGCGGGCAGAATCTGTTACTTTAATAGTAGGTATGGATGTGGGGTTGGTAGTCGTTTTGTTACATAGGCAGCCTCAGGTTGTGCCATAGCCATGTGGCTAGATGCATAAATGAATAAAACAAAAAAAAAAAAAAAAACCCCCGAAGATGTGTGATGAGCCCTAGCCCTGATAACGCACATATGCTCCGTAGGCTCACTAATGATAGCGTTGACCAGAAGTGTGTGTGAGCTTCCTGTGACCCCGTGGGCAGAATAAAAAAGTCCTCACACAGTGAACAATTAACGAGAATGGGGGATAAATAGCGATGATTCCCCCGATTACGGAGATAGAGTGGTCTTTGACTTGCCTCTACTTCTCTGTATGCTTCAAATATGCCGGATGGAGCCAGCAGAGTCAAGATTTCATTTGCCGTAGCGAGAAATTCATGCTGCGTTGCGTTTAAGTTACCGGATATACTCCGTGCTTTTTTTTGTTTTCCAATACTTTCATTCACAATCCGACTTGCAAGCATAGGAAGTGGACCCTTCTCCTTTTCCGCTCCTTATCTCTCGAGCTATGATGATTTGTACGTAACTTGGGCCACCCCACCGCCACTACTATGGGTGGCTCCTGCCCTGAGAAATTGGGGGGAGTTTTCTTCCCCCTTAAAATTGCTATGATCGGAGTGGTCTATAATTGCGGGAAAGAGACCAAGTGGCCGGATCGCCGCTGCTGCCTACGCAATCGGCGGTGATGTACTTGTTCGCCTTATAACCCCATGTGCCCTACGTTACTACCCGTATACCGTAAAGTACCTTTATACCCGACTACCAAATTTTCTGTTTTGAACCTTTATCCTTTTGCCGATACGGAAGTTATTTTATGTATTCTCGAGATCGCCGAACCACTTGCGATCCCGCTCGCTATTTATACCATGGTGCTCAAGTTGTCAGCTTCCTGAACCGAACACCCCCGAAGGCACCTAAGAGATTAGTGCTCCATATCATACCCGGCGCCGACTCCACTCCCCAGTCACCCGTTTTCAATTGCTACAGCAGGAGCCAGTGTCGTGCCCTGTTGCTCACTAAGCGAAATCAGGGATTTTTGCAGCCTAGCCCAACAATTATCTCCCGGGGGCTTCGGGAGTCTGAATTGGTTGACGAATACATATTACCGTGCCGAAAAGTATAAGTGCAGTACGCCGCACTCTGGGACAGCGAAACCAACTTTTATGTCAGAAATCTTGTGCGCCATAGGTTTCATGGGAGGCTTACGTTTCCTCCCTGGATGAAGGTGTATTAAGTCATCGCAATATGTATGATTAGCAAATACATTTTCTTCTACTTTAGACATTCATCCTTCTGGGGCTGCTCAGGTATTACTTCCGGGACAGAACGGACGACCCATCCCGCTTATATTTTTGCCACAAACATTAATGGGACTTGCACTCCGCCATTTTGTAGTCTTGGTCACTCTTGGTCTGTACCGAAATTGCGAAAACCCCCACAAAACCCTTTCAACACCTACCAGAAAAAAGACAGCTTGCAAGTATTGGATTCACCCCTGGCGCTTGTTTTGGTGCCCTGCAGTAGTGGCTAGCCCGACGCGCGAACCAAATCCGATATTGGCTTAAATGCTATGGGACCCGTTGGACTAAGTTTTTGCACAATGCTACTGTGGCCGTGAACCCTCAATCACCAGGACAAATGTTGGGCCCGGTAACTTTGAACTACCGGTATCCTATTTGAGAAGTTTTCTTTCACACTATTAATCCCTGTGTGCTTTAGTGAATTAACTAGGCCACACCCTATTAATCCCTGTGTGCTTTAGTGAATTAACTAGGCCACACACTACCGGTACTCCCCCTCTCAGCTGCTACAAGCAAACTGCACTGCAAGCCGGAGGTACTTGAAAGACCACACTGCGCTCACGCCGTACTACTCAAGCAGTATGATAGAATGAAACAGGTGAATGAGCTTCAAAAGCCAACTAGGTGCAAAGAGAATAAGGGGCTATTTGGCACACCTCCATTTGAGATCATGTTTATCCCAAAATGTGTTCAGTTAAATGTTAAGAAATAGAAAAATACCCAGTATCCAGCTTAGTACAATACACCGAGCCCACCAGGCAGGTCCCCGGACTATATTTCATTGAGCACTTGAAGCGCGGGCTATCCCTCCACTAAGAGGAGAGAGACTGCATAAAAAATCGATAGTGTTGCAGAGCACCGATTTTTCTGATTCCCTTTTCAGTCTTAACTACGATATTCCTACATCGATAGCAATCAAACACGGCCTCAAACTTTCCCCATCCCGGCAGGAGCTTCCTTCCCTGCCCAACAAGATTCAAGCAGGGGTAAAATACATTACTGTACAGCGTTATACCAGGAGCTTCTATATAACCCCCCACCCCAACCCCGATAGTGCTATAATATAGTAATATCAAAGCACTAGTGGTTCTTCCGTCAAAATAAGCTCTTGCACTGATCCCTACCCAAAAATGAACAGCGTACCTCCCCTCAACCCGCAGACCCCCAGCTACACTACCCGTACAGGACTCCACAAGCGGTAGTCATACCCATCGCACATAGACACTTTGTTATCCCCAATACCACACCCCGCTTAAACAAAAACCCACCGCACGCTATTACCAACTTGCATATTATAAAAAATAAGCCCCCCGTGAGATACGGCCAAACCACCCCCGGAGGACAAGCGCAGCTAACGGAACCTCCGACCCCATCAGCAGCTTTTCACTCACTCGCCTCCGGCTGGCATTCCGCCATTTATATTTTTGTCCTTAACATTTACCAAAGAATCGTGCAAGTATTACACAGTACACTACTCTAAACTAAGATTCTCGTGCAGTTAGTTTGCCTTTTTTTTTTTTCCCAGAGACGTCAGTGTAACCACCAGTATGCGCTGCAAGCGCTGAATTGATAGTAGAAATGTTATGATGGTGCCGCCAGGGAAAGTATAGCGAATCTAAGAGTAAGATTACCAAGCAGTGTGCCCTTACAGTTTATCGTAACAAGTGCACCCTAATCCTCGGACAACTAGAAAATCAATTGTAATTACCTGTAGACTACCTTAATTGATGGAAATCTCCCTAGCCAGGACTCGATCGAGCTCATGTCTAGCGGGGAAGGCAATGAGCACAGTAACGCACCATAGAGACAATATGGACCACTCAAACCACAAATTCATACGATGATACCACCGAAACTTCCAAAGTATCAAAACGCAACACCCAAATTAACCACAACTTCAAAATGAAATCACATTTGACAAAGCGGATAATCACTATCTGTATCATAACAAGCGTTCCAAACGCCCAAATACCGCCTCCAACAAACCCTACCTCTGAACCTCCCTACACTTCATCTTCTCACAACTCATCCCATTCTCCCTCCATCCCCGCCACCAAACCGGTCTCGAGCCCCTCCTCGGTGGGTTATCGTCGGGAATCATCTCGTCCGCTTCGTTCTGCTTCAAGGCCTCCCTCTCGTCATCCGTTGTGATTTCCGCCTCCCAATGTCGTCCCTGGTAACAATACGGGTACATGTCGGCAGGATCATCCTCATGCTCCTCGAATTCCAAGTAACATATTCTGGCGCCGCAGCACAGGAATTCTTGCGTCTCGTTCTCGTCGCCGAACTCGTAGGGTTCTTCTATAAAGTGTGTGACGGCGCAGCCGCCTCCGTTGGCCAGTCTGTGGAAGGTTTTATGACAGTAAACGCAATGACGGAGGTCCGAGGCGGCCTAGGGCTTGTTAGTTACGGTTCCTTTCCCAAAGAATTGGTGGAAGGATGATTGATTGACTGATCGATTACCTCCGGGAATGCCCCAGAGAGGATGAGAGCCTCTACCGCCGGGCGTGACAAGCTCTTCAGGTGTTCCTCCAGTTTTTCCACCGTGGGATATTTTTCCCTCAAATTGTGAAAGGCCGGTTGTCGTGGTCTCGTCGCTAATTTTGCGGGCCGATCAGACCCGCCGTCAGTTTTTCGCTTAGGCGCGTACGACATTGATACGGTAGTTATTCTATCAGCCTGAACAATTGAAACCCTCTCGCTCTCAAGGAATCCTCGGGAAGGGTGCTTTCTACTTGTACCCGCCCCCTTCCCCCTTGCTCACCCCGTCAAGCATACTAGGCTGTCATGGCTTGTTGGTGTTCCCCGCACTTCGGCAGTCTAGAATATAACCGAACATTTTGCTAACGGGTTTTGCGTTTGCATTGCGGCTTCATTGGTTGACCACTTGGCACGCACCTAAATCTCATTCGCCCGACGGTATTTGCTGCATGTGCAGCCCGATCATGCCTTATCATTCGTCTAGCAACCGCAGATAAAAAAGGATCCGCCTAGCATTTTAATCTGTTTGCCATCATCATTGCGCCTCATTCAATCAGAGGGTTGAGCGATACATGCACTCGTCAAGATCCGCATCTCGCTGCAGCCTTTGGGTTTGGAAATAGCGAGTACGAGTCGTTGTACTCCGGTACCCGAGGTGAAGGCGCCGATTCCAAGCATATATCCGCGTCAGTTGGAGGACAACGACTAATTGCCAGCGAACAATCGCGTGGGGTATTTCTATGTGTCAATTTTGTCGTGGCGAAAGCAACTGTTTGTTGTCCGGACCGCTCCCCCGATACTTCGCAGATATCACGAGCGGGCTCCAATTCATCATCTCAACGAGTGACAGCACGTGAAAATGCTGCACTCTTCTCGAGCACTCCACACCGATGCCCAATTACCCTAACCCTAAAGAGCGTTCATCCGGATGCCGTAATCCTTATCCTCCCAGTTCAAACTCCCGGGATGCAGAAGAGCGGGGGCGCCATCCCTCGGGTTCCACCCACTATCCTATGGAGGAGTTCAATTTGGGCCGCGAGCGGCTCCAAATACCCGGGGCCATCGAGAAATCCTCGAGGCCAACCCCGTTCCCTTTCTCGCCCACCCCCGGCCCAGAATCCCCAAAAAGAGACCGGCTGCGCCGCAAGCAATCGGGGGGTGTGCCTCTTGGCAAAAGCCCCAAGGGCCACCTTCGATTGAACCATACAGTTAAAGTAAAGGCACAAGCCCCACTAACCGTGGCCTAAGGGCTCTATTCAGCACCAACACAAAACTAATTGGTGTGAACTCCTCACTATCGATTGAGAACAGGCCCACTAATGTCCTTGACGAATACTCTCCCCTTTCGTGGTTCCCGTGTGAGAAATCCCTCAAAGTCCCCGGGGGGTAATTAACGACATTCACCGCCTTTCCCCTTCCTCTTCGGTAGACACCCTCCGCTATCATCATTCCGAAGATCGTCTGATCCATTATAAGCCTCAACATTTATCGCCCGAGTAATGACTGCACGCGAAGTTGTCGGGTCAGTGATTGCTATTCGTTGGGCCGCTAGAGGTTATGTATGCCTCATGGATCTGGTCGAGGACAAGTCTGTGAAGAGTGCCCGGCGGTAGGCAAGTGCGATCGTACGTTACCAAGGGGTGATGACTGATCGGTATAAATAGGATACCGAGGGGAAAGTTACGGTTATCCCATAAACGACCGACAAAAAACAGCTACATTAAGAGCGCAGCCCTAGGTAACCAGATTCGGTTTCCAGCATAAATAATATTATCTACTCGCACTACGTCACGGTCAGGGTTATAAGTTGCGTCACTAACGGTCAAGCTTTTCTCTCGAAGAGCACAACAGCTCAGATAACATGATTAAATGGTCGCTGGCCGATAATTAGTATCGCAAGACCCATAAACAATTTTCCCTCATGCAAGTAGTAAATCTCAACACAGCATAACATGAGACCTCGATTGAACCCACTTGGTAGTTACATCCTAGAAGTACATCTAAAGCACCGATTTTACATAAAGAATCAATGAAAAAGCAATCAAACATTATGAATAGCCGCGGGTCCACCTTCATTGTACTCCACTCTTGTCATAAACCCGCTATTAGCACCTTGGTCAACAATAAACAATACCTTCGCTGCGACTTGAGCTCCCAGAAACGCCGCCTCCTCAAAACCGGCATCTTTCCATTCGGGAAAATACTCTGGTGCACGCGGAAACTTAATGTTTGTTGGCGTTTGACCGTGGCTGGAGTGATGTCCATGGTGGCCCATGGCAGGTAGTGGGAGGTTAGAGGTAGTCGCGGCGACAAGGAGGGGATTGGCGCCTGCGTGACTAGAAGGGCCCGCTTGTGGGACGGGCGTCGATGTTCCGGTTGCAGCAGGGGTAGACATGTTGGAGGGCAATTCGGAAGAAAAGATAGTCGCGGAGGAGGGGGGGATGATGTATTTGTTCTGAATAGTTTGAAGTAAAGCATCCTTAAAACCTATATTATTTGTTAAAAACCCTGGGGGTAAAAAAGAATATTCTAGTATAGGTGACAAACCTCTAATCTTGGAACCATTTCCTACAAGTATGAGGCTTTCCCATAATTCTGCTCTGCGAGAGACATCCTCGACCTTCGAAATAACCCTCCAGATACAGTCCGCCAATTCCTGCAAGATTCCACATTCCGCGGCCATAAAGCGTTCGACACCAACCTGAATCTCCCTACGTATCTCGTCTTCGCCGATTTTGGGAAGTCCCTCCGCTGCTGCCCTCTTCTCTTCCTTCCGTCTCTCCCTTTCCTTTTGTTTGCGAAGTGCTTCCTCATCTGAGACAACAGGAGCTGGAGCTGGAAGAGGTGCAACCTCAGTCACTTGTGCGACCGTCGCGGTGTTATCTGCAGTTTGGGGAGCTGCGTCGCCTGTAGCAGTTTCCTTAGTATTAGTAGCTGCAGCCCCCGCAGTGGCTACTACCTCAGCAGTCACAGTAACCTCCACAATCTCAGCCGGCTTTGGAGGCTCGGAGGGAGGGTCCTCTGTCTTAGGCTCCTCAACACTCGTGCTTTCAGTAATAGTAGCCTCCACTGTCACGGGTGGGACAGGAGCGATTGCAGTTGTAGCAGCCACCTCTGCGGTGGTAGCCACAGAAGGGGAAGGGGGGGCAGGGGGCGCAGGAGGGGCAGGAGGGGCAGGAAGGGCAGGAAGGGCAGGGGGGGCAGGAAGGGCAGGAGGGGTAGGAAGAGCAGGAGGGGCAGGGGGGCCGGGAGACAGGGGGGGCGAATCGCTTGGATCGGCTGGGGCAGCTATGAGAGCCGGTGCGGCATCTGTAGAAACAGCCTCCGGAACCGGCACGGTGGTGACAGATGAAAGCTCTGTGGCCGCTGTCGCAACCGGGATAGCCTGAGGTGCCTCTGCGCCTACAACAACTTCAGGAAGCTTTGGCGCTGAGACTGAGACAGCGGATTGCGGTTCATCTAAAATCATTGCCGAATACGAAGGTGGCTCGTCACCGGGCTTCTTCTTTTCCACCACCCAGAAACTATTGGTCTCCCTCTCTCTATTGGGTAACTTCCGTTCTGCCTCTCCACGTTTCTCCTTCTCCCTTTTCGCAAGAAACTCATGGGTCTTCCCCGAAGCAACGATAGCAGCCACGTTCATAGTACCTTCCTCTTCATCAATCAAATCAGATGCATCCATATCTGCTGCCCTTTTCATCTTATCTTTCCCTGCCGCAATAGCGGTGTCCACGGAGGTCGCATTTGGCAACGGAATACCAGAGTGTAAAATTTCGCAGATTGGTGACCGTTTAAGCTGCTCAGCCTCCTCATATTTCAAATCCGGTAGCAACTTCATTAGATGTTTTGTCATTGACTCACCGCCCCAGCCGGGAATTGTTTCACGGGCGCGCTCCTGGATAGCGAAATCCAAAATCGGTGTGATATCCGTCTTCTCGAGTCCAACATCGATGATCGTAGAAGTTGACAGTCCGTAGGCCCACAATGCCGCCAGAGCCATGTCCATAAGGACGAAGCCAGGAGCCTTCAACTTTTCGAACACGAACTGGGTAATCCTCTCTTTATCACTAGGTGTGAAGGCAGGGGGGCAGAGCATAAGAATTGGGGTGTGGAACGTCGGGTTAATTGTCTCGTGAACGTGTTGCCTAGAGAGGGTTAGCATGGGGAAGAAGAGAATGGCATGAGGGAGTTCACAGTAGCGCGAAAAAACATCCCCAGTCAACAACCTTTCCCTCCTTCATACACCAGACCGCACCCTCCTCATCGTCTTCATCCTCCACATACACATCACCCATATCCTCATCTTCCTCATCCCCGTCATCATCATCGTCATCTTCCTCCTCCTCTTCCTCGTCTTCCTCCGCTTCGTCCTCTTGCTCAACGGTGGCATCCATCATCTCCGAGTCCTCCGCCTTCAATTCCGAGCCTGATGGCTTCACTTCATCCTTCACAGCTGTCGTCCCTTCCCCGACCGTTTTAGTGCATTTTCCTTCGGAGATGTCGAGTTTAGCGGTGTCTTCCGTGGCTGCATTAACTGCCTCAGCGACCGTGGATTCTGGGGCCCTCTCCTTTTCCGTGTTGTCGCTCTCAGGTTTGGTCCCTGCAGCGATAGCCTCATCACCTTCCTCAGCTTCGTCTTCATCTTCCTCCTCTTCATCGTCCTCCTCATCGTCATCGTCATCATCGTCATCTTCATCATGCCCAACCATAGCCGTTGCAAGTAATCGATCCTTCTCACCCTCGCGAGCTTCCCTAATCTTGGTCCATGTCCATGTTCCTGGTTCCAGCGCGGGGAACATGCGACTCGCAAGGCGAAGCTTAGCGGGAGTGAAGGATTCAGGTAAACCTAGCTGAGCTAGAGTTACCTGCGACCCGGGTGATATCACCTGTGTTCGTTAGCCACCAAGCCAGCTGAGGCAGATGGAAAGGAGTACAAGAATATGATCATCTCGAAAGGAAGGCATGCGAAATTATCGTCCCACAAAACCGGAGGACCAAGTAACCCAATCTCAGTATCAGTTGCAAGCGGCGTAGCAATAGCGGGTGTAGAAGCGAGGAAAGTGAGAAAAGTCGGGCGGAGCAAAACAAGTCAAACTAATTTCGAGAACTTTGTTTTGGTGGCCGCGGCTGAAGTTCGCGCGCGTTAGCAGATTGCTTTGTAAGCAGCACACCAC